TCACCCTTTATGGGAACATCATTTTCAGGTTCAGGTGATAAGCTACCTTCAAGGACTTAGCTTGGAAGGAATTGGAGTTGAAGACTCTGTTTAGTTTAGTTGTTATTTATTTATTTGATATTACATGTAAACATTCAAGCCTAGGGCTTTATTTGTATTTGAGTTAGAACTCATATTCTGTGTCCAAGTGTTGGCTTGGAAAGATGTTAGCCCGTAGGGCATTTAATTTGATGTTACATGTAACGCTTTTATTTAGTAATACTCTGATGAATGAATTAATGAATTGTTTTCTTTAAATATTGCAAGTCGATGATATATATATAATGGGTTAATTTTGAGGGCGTTACAGTCTAACTGTCGTTGAGGTTTTGGAATTGGACTATTATTATGCCAAGGTAAGATTAGCTTAGCAAAACCGTGTTTATTTATTTATTTTATTTCTTTGATAATATTTATTGATGTATTTTGCTTCTCGTTCATGGCTATAGGTGGAGTACCAAAGAGTCTTCCAACTACTCTGAGACGCCTTAAACTTCTCACATTGTATGGTATTTGTTTTTGGGATCTTAATGAGGTCTATATTGTTCTTTGCTTAATTAGAAGCTCCCCAAATTTGCAAAATTTATAATGTAGGTTAAGTAATGACATATTTTATTATTTCCTATGTCTATAATGTATATTTTGAATCTTTAGGCTGAGACACAATTCCATTTTCTTCTTTCCAGGAACATGCTGCTGCTATTGTTGATCTTATTCTTGAACTTTTAAAAGTGCTACACTGGGTGGATGTCTCTTTATATCAACTTCGAGAAGTGGAGATGAAGTATATGTCTGGAACGAGGTCTGAATTAGATTTCGTTAAGCTTCTATTAGCCAAATCATCAGTGCTAGAGACAATGCATATTGAGCCAAATTCAGCAAACGTTGTTGATGGATGACTGAGCATATTGAAAGAGGTGACACGATTTCGGCGCTTATCACCTCAAGCAGAAATCAAATTTGAAAATCCAGTTAAAGGTCAAGTTTAGTAGACGGTTTGTGTCCTTTCTTACCAGCTTTAGTTTTGAGTGTGACAATGAGATGATCTTTTTGGTGATTGTTGCCTGCTAGTCTAGGTTTACAACTTTTAATGAATTATACAATTCTTAGTTATGAATTATATGGTTCTTAATTATGAGGTTTTGTTATTATCAAATTTATGGTGAATTTGATTATGAGGTTAAAATGACCTTGATTTTGAGTCTTATGGTAATTTTAGTTATGATTCTTTTTTGTCTTGGTTATATAGATTTATGATCATTTTTGGTCTTTGTATGTGATTTTGCCGTTTAGTTATAAATGAAAGTGATTTTGGTTATGAAATTATGTAATGCTTAGTTATGAAGAGAAGTAATTTTGGTTGAAAGGTTTTTGTAATATTTTTGTTATGACTAACTGACGATTTACGGATGAAAATAACTTAATTATTATATTAATTAAAATCTCAAGGAAGATTAGTGTAATTATGTCAAAAGTATGAGATTAATTATATTTTTAGGTGCAATAAGTCTAGGTGCACAGACACTATATGTATAGAATGGGATACATACGTCTCACATAAGATGTGTTCCACATGTAGGTCCTACATCATGTGAACTCCACTTTATGTCAGACATATGTGTCACATCTAGTGTTTGTGTTCCTAGCATTATGTGGATGCAATTTACCCATGTATAAAAGATAAAAGTCTAGAGGGAGAGAGAGCACAGCCTCCCCCTTTAAGTGATTTTCAGTGGTACTCTGGCAATGTTCCGGCGATTCATTTTACACTTCTAAAGTATAGATCTACACTCCTAGAGTATAGATTTATAGTTTTCACATGTAAATCTAGACTTTTTATGTCCGACATAAGGGTTTTGAGAGTTTTCTTCTCAAATTTCGGTATAGATTTTTGAATTTTCAATACCTACAATGGTTCCCTCATTTCTCAAACCTTCTCCCATACCATTGTGGGTGTACTTCCTTCTCAACTCTAACTTCCGGTGGTGTTCGATGTCCGGCGGCAGTGGCAGTAGTAGTGGCAATGGTGTTGGGCAGCAGAGACAAGGACGACGTTGACGAGGACGAGGAGTTTTCAAACAGATCTTGCTTCCCAAACCGCATCTTTGATAAGATCGGTAATTTTTCCTGACTCGTAATTATTTTTTTGGCAGACTTGCTTTTTGTTGTTTATTTTTTGTTTTGTTGTTTGGTTGGGATGACCCTTTGGAGTCTTGTTTATGTAATGTTATTATTTATTAATATAATTTTTCTCGTGTTCTAAAATAAAAAAAATTACCCATGTATTAAAAAAAAAAAGGGATAGGGCAATTTTTGTCCATACGCGTATTTATAGTTTGAAATAAATTATAAAAAAAAAGACAAATTGCAACTTAAAAAATCTCTTTTTTTGGAGGGTCAAATAAATTTTAAAAATTAAATAAACTATAACATAAAATTGTAGCCAAAAATTATTAATCAAATTTTTTTATTTTTTATTTTTTTATAATTTTTTTTGTAATCAAATAAATAGTTTGACTTATAATTGATATGGCCATAATCAGTGAAATTTAAAATAAAATAAAAATGTTTTTGGTATTTAAAAAAAAGAAGAAGAAGAAGAATATTTGCTTAAAAAATTAAAATACGGATTTACGAAACGAAACGAAACAGGGGAAACTGCTGAGAGCATCTCCAACGGTTCACCAAACTTTTCACCAAATCTGAGTAAAAAAATCACAATTTTCCCAATTTGGTACCAGATGCTCCAACGGTTCACCTTTTACCAAATCTGTCCCGGGACAACTGGTTGGTTGACTGGTAAGGGGAATTTTTTTTTTTTTTTGAATTGTTTGAATCAGAAATGTTGAACTGTTTGAACTTTTTCATGGACCGGTTGGTCAACCGGCCGGTCAACCGGTTGGTCGACCGGTTCGTCTCCCCCAACGGTCATGTACAGTGTTTTGGTGAAATGCAAAGCCTGTCCTTAGTTTGATGAATCGTTTGGTGAAATCTCATTTTGATATCGATTTGGTGCAACCGTTGGAGCACCAGACAATATCTTTTTTATCAAAATTTAAATTTGATATAAAGTTTGGTGAACCGTTGGAGATGGTCTAACAAAGACTCCTTTCTTTCTTTCTTTCTTCTTTCTTTATTATTATTATTATTATTAAGGTAGAACTCTTCAAAAATCTTGTAACAGAGTTTGGAATTAACAGATCAGCAAAAAGAACCATGATAGGAGGAGCTTGAAAGAGACACCAAGTAAGTCAACTAAAAAAGATTTCTTCTCTACTTTTTCATGTTAGTTTTTTGTGTGTGTGTGTGTGTGTGCAAATAATGTGTGTTTTCTCATTCTTCTTCCTCTTCTGAGTATTATGGTTGAATTCTGATCTTTGTTTCATTGAGGAACTCGGTTATAGTGTTTGATTAGTTTCTGTGAAGTTACTTTGATGCTGCATTGTAAGAAAGTAAAAACCCTAATGTACTCTAATGAAAAAAGAACTCAAAATGATTTTAGGTATACAGATTGAATAGATGATCAGCACCTCTTTTCTGGGTACCTTTTTAAGGCTGTATTTGGATTATGAGTTCAGAGAGAGATTTGCAAATAGAAAGGAAAAGTGATTTCCCTCCACAAATAAAAGTTCAATATTGTCTATTGCTGGAAAATACCACTAACCTGTGGGGTTGATTCTTTGGTGTTTTTTATTTTTATTTTTTATACTTCTTTCTACAGCTGACGACAGAAGATATGATATATTGGACTGTTATTTTGTATTATTCTTCTTTATTTTGTTTTTACTAAGTTTGCTGATTGACAGAATTGTTAGAAACATGAAGAAAATGTTGGAACAATTTGTCTTCTTGAATTCTTCAGTTGGTGGTCTTCGAGTCTTCAAAATTTGGTGATGATTGTGTCTATATAGAACAGAAATTTAATGCTTCAAGTCACGTTATTTAGTCGCTTCGCTAAAGACAATATTCGTACCCACCAAAAGGTGTGCAGGGAGTTACAACAAATTTGCCTCCAGGATACAATGAAGCTTGATCTAAAGATCAAGTCTATCGGCATCTGCACTGACGACAATAGATCGGAATACTCTTGATATAATCAAGAAAACCACGACACTGGTAATCAAATCTGCAGAACTTGATTATCAGTAAGAAAAGTAGAAATTTGCTTAAGAAACTCTTGATTGAAAACTCAAAATCAAGAGGGGGGAGAGAGAGAATTGCAGGAAGCTTCTGAATTTTTTTGAATAGAATGAAATGGCTGATTTCGCTGCCTATTTATAGGCCTTGATGGATTTGATCGAATGGTCGTGTCCCTTGATCGCATCTGATCAGATCTGACCGTTGGATCGACGATCTATGATACAGATCACTCTCACACCGAATAGCTGCCTTGATTAATCACACCTGATTACGATCGGGTGCCATCTCATCCATACGATCGCGCGCATCTCCAATCAACAGTTATGATCAATCCGCTCCAGATTGGACACGCAACTGTTTGATCGGTTGGCTAACTCATCGCCAACAGACGCCACGTCACTACCACGTGGAGCTGACTGTATTCCACGTTGGATCCACGTCATCGCTCCAACCTGTCCGATGCAAATAGGAAAGAGCCCTCATAGCGCCTTGCGCTGATGCGTTCGTGCAAAGTGCACCATCAAACGCCACACAGCTCACTGCCCACGCCACACATTCGCGTGTGCGTGTGCGGATAGTGCGGAGCACCATCCTTGCGGTGTGAGTGCATGCACACTAGCTTTCAACTCATAATTCTATATTCAAAGGAATATTCTATGTAGCACTTTATTAAGTGCTCTATATTTTTCTCTCTTTCCGATTTGGGACAAAGTCCCCAAGCTTAATTAATGTTTTCCAAAGAAAAACTGGAAGGTTTTTAAAACACCCAAAAACTAAACAATAAATTTTGAAAACCCATTTTGAAAATTTCCCAACAGAAAATGTGTGGCTCAACTTCAGACATAATCAGTGATCTTCCAAACAATGTAAAAAAAGCAATCTTGTTGTGTTTATCAATACAAGATGCGGTGAGGACTAGTGTTTTATCAACAAAATGGAGGTATATGTGGGCGAACCTTCCCCAACTTGTATTTGATGATATGTTCTGTAGAGAATCAATCAGAAAACGAATGAATAAACTTCTGCGGGCTATTTATCAAGTTCTATTACTTCACCGTGGACCAATACACAAGTTCACTCTCTCTTTATCTAGACTAAAAGGCTATTCTGTGATCGACCAGTTGATACTTTTTGTTTCAAACAATGGTATCCAGGAATTGACCCTTCACATTTGGAAGGGTGAATGTTACAAATTGCCATCATCACTATTTTCATGTCTAGAACTTAAGATTTTGATTCTTAGTTCTTGTATTTTTAAGCCTCCACCTAAATTTAAAGGATTTATCGGGCTCCTTTTCCTGGAGTTTTATGAAGTTGGCATCACTGCTGACATATTTTCAAGTTTGATCTCTGGTTGCCCACTACTTGAACACCTGATCATTTTAAACTCAACCTATTTCGGTGACCTTGAAATTGCTGCTCCTAATCTTATATATTTATTCTGTGGCGCCCTTTTCAGTTCTATTTGTTTCAAAAATACCCTTCAGCTTGCAAGAGTTACCTTTTGTTTGAACATGTGCGCGAATGAGGAAGTATTCAACAAAGGAAAATCATCCATGGTCATGCTTTTTGATAGTCTACCTGTCATTGCGTCGTTGCAATTGGACTATTATTATGCCAAGGTAAGTTAGCTTAGTAAACCGTGTTTATTTATTTCTTTTTATCTTATTTATTTATCTTGTGTCTTTTGCTTCTAGTTCTTGGCTGCAACTCTGAGCCACCTTAATTATCTCTCGTTTCATGGTATTTGTTTTGGGAACTGGATGAGGTCTCTATTGTTCTTTGCTTAATCAGAAGCTCCCCAAATTTGGGAAAAATTAAAATTGAGGTCAAGTAATTGCAGATATTATTATTTCATTTGTTCATGATGTATATTTTGAATCTTTAGGCTGAGATAGAGTTCCATTTTCTTCTTTCCAGGCATGTACTTGATAATACAATAATTCCAACAAAGGGTGGGTCGGACTGATCCACACTTCTAACGGGTTTGCCGGTCTTGAAGCCCACAAAATGTGCCTGCAAAAAGGTCCAAAGGGGGTGATAATCCCCCGGTGGACCCTCTAATGATCGATTTAGAATAGGATAGATTGATTGAATAGAGAGAGAAGAAGGGAACGAAGAAGCTAACCTCTAATGCGTCTTGAAAACTTTTTTATATCCTTTGTTCATCATTTCTTTGTCCACTCTAGACTGTCGTGTTGGCCGAAAGTCTATATTCTAGCTCGTATCGTTCATGGTGAGTCTGTATATTCCGCAGTGAAGAGGTTGTCGTATTTAATGCTATGAGAGCCTCATTAATGGCAGATATATGGGTACAATAACTTTGCAGGATTTTTGTCTGCTTATGTGGCTAGACCTCTGTTTGACAAGCGTTTGAATGCTATTGGTCCCAGTCCATCGTTGATTTCTCAAGATTACTGGGCTTTAATATCTAGCCCGTGGGTTGGGTCCTGAGTCGTGGGCCAGACCCTTTTGTGGGCCCACCGATATCAGTACTTATGACACTGTTGATGATGTTATTGTTGATCCTGTTCTAGAACTTCTAGAAATGCAAGACTGGTCAGATGTCTCTTTAAATCAACTTCGAGAGGTGGAGATGACAAAGCTATCTGGGACAAGGTCTGAATTGGAGTTTATTATGCTTCTATTAGCCAAATCACAAATGCTGGAGACAATGCATATTGAGCCGAACTCAGCGAATGTTGTTGATGGAGGACTGATGATTTTGAAAGAGGTGACACGATTTCGCCGCTTATCACCCCAAGCAGAAATCAAATTCAAAAATCCAGTTTAGCGGATGGGGTGTGTGTCCTTTTTGACCAGATTTGGTTGAGTGAAACAGTGAGATGATCTTTTGGTGTGTGTTGTCTGCCAAGTCTAAAATAACAACTGCTAATGACATTCACAGTGAAAGTGGAACATCTAGAGAAAAATGAAACTTGGTTCAACATTTAAAATTCTGAAATTTGGTTGATATTTTTCGTTAGAGATATCATATTACAATGATGTTGTTTGTCACTTAGAATTGAAGTGCCGCTTACAACTTTGCTTCAAGTTCTCTCCCATCAAGCTAATCACTAAGGCATGACAGTCTCATATATATGTATATATTATTGTATTGGTAACACTAGGGGAATTTGTATGGTAGTTATAAAATTCTTAGTCATGAATAATACGGTTCTTAATTATGAGGTTTTGCTATTATCAAATTTATGGTGGATTTGATTATGAAGTTTTGTAGGGATGGTCACAAGCTACAATGACCTTGATTATGAGATTTTGTGATAGTTTTAGTTATGATCTTTTTGGTTTTGGTTATCTAATTTTTATAGTGTTTAGTTATAAATCAAAGTGATTTTGGTTGAAACACTTTTGTGATATTTGTGTCATGAATCAATTTAGTTTTGATTATAATCTAAAGTGGGACTTGCGTGTAACTCCTACTAAGTGAGCTTATTGTTTAATGTTAATTAATGACATTTTTTATCATACATTATTAAAAACATCACTAATAGTTAATTTTTAGCGATAATTAAAAATTGTCACAAATTATAAGTTTTAGCGATAGTTTAAAAAAATTATCACAAAAAAAGTCATTAATTTTTAACTTTCAGCCATAATTTAAAAAATTCATTACAAAAAAATGTCACTAGTTATAAATTTTAGCGACAATTTATAAAAAATCATAAAAAAAAGTTGTTAATTATCACTTTTTAAAGATGTATGTAAAAAATTATCATAAAAAATTATTTGTAACAATAATTTTACTTAAACTTATTTTTAATAAGGCTTGATAAAAATTAAGTTTAACTATTAGGACTCAAATTACTAGTTTACTCAATAATTTACCCCTCACTTTGGTAGATATATATAAATTACTCGCTCAACCAAAAAACAAAAAAAAAAAGAAAAGAAAAGAAAAAAAGATTAAAAAAAAAAAAAACAGGGGCGTAGAGAACCTTGATAGAAGGAGGTTGAGAAGACATCTTTTCTTTGTAAAGAACCTCGCCCTTGACAGGAGGGGACCTTGCCCGATAGCAACTTCTTGAGTTGGGACCGTAAACTTGAAGTAAGTCAAGAAAAAAAGATGTCTTGTCTGATTTTTTTATTATAGTTCTATGATATTATGGTTGAAATATGATGTTGTTTCATTGATGAGCTCTTTTATACGATTGGCTTAGTTTCCGTGATGATACTTTAATGTCATACTCTAAGAAATTTAAAACCCTAATTTACTCTTAACACCCTAATACTTGGCAGATTTTTGAGGTTTTTTCTTTTCCCCTTCAATTTTACAGCCAAACAAATCTAATTATCAGCGTTTGTGAAGAGTCTAATTGTAGAATGGACAACCAAACAGGCCCTTCCCTCCATTGTAGTTGTTTTGATTGTACATTGGTAATAACATTGAATTTGAAGTCTGTTAAAATCTCTCTAAACTTTTAATGTGTATCCAATTTATTGTTTGTGTTTTTGTGAAAGATTCAACCACTGCAATCATGAGATCATGAAACCTTTATTACCCTTTCTTGACATGGTTATAAAATTTATGTTTCAGCAAGGGATTCATAGCGTGTAATATGACCGTTGATTTGACCCAAATTCATGATCTGCTATATATAAATAAACACAATACAAAAGAAGAGGTGGAGGTGGTTGTGGTGGTTAGATATGAATATGGTGTTGTGTGGTAATTGAGAGAATCAAGAGGATAGGTGAGAGATGCGTAGGAAGAAGGAAGATTTCTAGGTGTTGGGAACTGGTGTTTGTGTGTGTGTTTTGATGACTGAGAACTCGGCCTGTGTAAGATCCTTTAGAACCACCATAGGCATGCAAACTTGAGGTACAAAGGTCACCCTTAAGCTTGTGACCCCGAGGGAGTCCTTTAATGTTTTGTGGGCAGAACTTTATATTTCTCAAGTTCTACAGTGATGGCATTTTAATTTATTAAGGTTGATGAAGGCCATAACAGAGAAGATAGAAAATGATGAAGAGGCTATCCATTGTGGTGGGACTCATCCTTTCTTATATTGAATGGCTATGTGGCAAGATTTGGTTGAAGGTTATAAAAGATTAGATATTTTATGGGTGATTTGTATAGTATATATGAGCTATTTTTATTTATTATTCTAAATAAAAGTAAGTGGCATCAGTGTTATTTTAGAAACTGTATTGGTGTTAATGTAATCTAAGTGTTTTTTTATTTTTTATTTTTTTGGGTTAAATGGTTTGTGATTATTTACAAATATCAAGAGAATTATATCAAATTGGACAATCAACTATGTAATAAAGTTCAACAACACTCCGTTCAAAAAAAAAAAAAAAAGTTCAACAACACATACCTGAAATCTTAACCATAACATTCACAACATCAATACAAGCAAAAGCCCCATTATAGGGAAGAAATAAACAGTCCCCTAATAGGAAAGAAATAAATAATCTTTTCACTTGGCAATGATACTCCCAACCTCTCAGTTGAGTATACAAGAATGGCAAACTAATCTAGTCCTTTTTGGTTGATAATAAGTATAATTGATATGCTAGATCAGGGAGGGTAGAATGCTTAATACAACCATAAATCTATTTGTTTGGGTTTAGGAAGATGCTTTCTCCTTTTCTTATTTTTTATTTTTATTTACAGTCACAGAGGTTGGTTACTAAAATGTTGTTACATGAGATAATGACAATATGCTATTGATTATTGTTCTTTCCTTTTGCTAATGACAATTTGATTGCCCTGATTTTCTAAACAGTAATCATCACAAATGAAGAAAAGTTGTTTAACCTCTGATATTATCAGTGAGCTTCCTGCCAATATAATAGAAAACATCTTAATGTGTATGCCGCAACGAGATGCAGTGAGGACAAGTGTTTTGTCAAAGAAGTGGAAGTATAACTGGGTAAAACTTCCACAACTTGTATTTGATGATACATTGTGCCAAGAATGGACGCAAGACCAACAGTCAAATAGAAATAGATTTTTCAGATCAAATAAAAAAACTAGAAATAGATTTTTGTTTACTATATATCAAGTAATGTTTCTTCACTGTGGACCTATACTTAAGTTCACTCTCTCTATTTATGGACTCGAAAGTTGGTCTCAGATTGACACCTTTATAATGTTTTTGTCAAGCAATGGGGTCCGGGAATTCACTCTTCAAATTTGGAGGGGTGAACCCCATAAATTGCCTTCATCTCTATTTTCATGTCAAAAGCTGACGGATTTGAATCTCCGGTACTGTGTATTTACACCACCGACAACCTTTAATGGGTTTAGTAGGGTTGTTTGCTTGGAGTTTCGTGAAGTCATCATCAAAGCAAAAACACTTGCAAGTTTGGTCTCCAGTTGTCCTCTACTTGAACAATTGACACTTGAAAGTCCCACCGCTTTTGGCTGTCTTGAAATTGATGCTCCTAATCTCAAGGTCCTACACTTGGTGGGGATTTTCAACTCTATTTGTTTCAAGAATACATCCCATCTCGCAATTGTTTCAATGCGTTTTCCCCCCAATGGGATGCGATTTAATGAAGGAGGGACATTTGACTGGTTAATCTTTTTCGTAGCCTACCTGTTCTTGAAAATCTGCACATGGCCGGTTATTATGTGAGGGTAAGATTTATTGCACAGCTTTATTTCGTTCATTTGGCAGGCAATAGTTTCTTAATTTGATCTCATTTCTGCTGTTTGCACAAGTCTTTGGGTGCAGGCATTGCCCAACACAGGCGTCTTCCGACTTTAACGTACCTTAAAATTCTGAAGTTATCTGATATATGTCTTGAGTTAGCTGAAGATGTCCGTTGTGCTTTAGGCTTGAATAGATTCTCCCCAAGATTGCATAAACTTACAATTGAGGTGAGTTATGACCGATGATTCTTTTACTTGTATGTATTTTGAATATTTATATTGATACTATTATGTTGTCTTCTGTCTAGGCATTTTCCAGCAGGGACTGTTTTTCAGATTCTGTTGTGAAATTGTCTGAATGGAGGGGCAAGTTAAATCTCTATTTCAATGAGCTTCGAGAGGTGGGGATGCATAATGTATTTGGTACTAGTTATGAATTAGTATTCATCATGATTCTGTTAGACAATTCCCCGATATTGGTGACCATGGTTATCAAGCCAGATCCGACAAAGGTTTCTGATGGAGGATTGAGGATCTTGAAAGAGGTGTCACAATTTCGACGTTTGTCACCCATGGCGAAAATCACGTACAAAGATCCAGATGCAAACCAAGTTTAGTGCGGGATGTCATGTATTTTGACCATTTTATGGCATTACAAGAGGGACTGTTTGATGGCATTCCATGTTTTTGTTGGTCCAAGTTAAAAAGCAATTATTTTTGACTGATGCAATTGGTTTTGATGAACTGTCTTCTTTTAAGTTTTGGGAAGAAAATGGTTCACAATGATGCTTTTCTTGATCGAAAATTTAGGGGGCATTATTTTAACGTTGTGTATATACCAGGATTGAACTATATATATCTCATCTTTGCTGTTGCTTTATTTGAGATCATTGTTCTATTTAATAGGATAAAGCCACTTTCAAGAGGTTTGCTTGAGGCTCTCATCTCCACCTCCCTTGTCCTTGTGATCCTCACTATAGGGCCTTGGCCAAGGGGCAAGAGGTTGAAATCAGAACCTCTCTTTGCCAATACAAACTTTAGTTTGGACAAGTGCCATTCTAGTAGCTTTTTATGTGTCACGATGGCTTCTACAATTCATGTGCTTAGGTCTTGTTTGGTTCAGGAATTTAGGTAAGAATTTGGAAAGGAAAAGAGTGTGAAATGTAATTATATTCACATTTCACTCACTTTTTTTTTCTTTCCTTTTTTTAAATCTCTACACAAATCCATAAACTATAATCTTAATGTTCCTCGCTTTCCCAAGTCCTCCATATTGTCATAGCAAAGCAAACCCTTCCTTTTCGAGAAGTTATTCAATGCTCTTAAGATAATGTTCACAATCACGTATGGTCCACATTCAACCATTCATATGTTTTAAAGATGAGAAGGAACAAATTTGCTCTCTAAAATGATGATAGTAAAAATAAATCTCTCTTAATGATGATGAATCTTCCTATGTTTTAAAGATAAGAAGGAATAAATTTGCTCCTAAAAATGATGATAGTATAAATAAATCTCTCTTAATGACGATGACAGAAGAATTAGATTGGTAATTTGCAAATTGTAATAGCAGCCGTTAATAATAATAATGTATATGTAAGAAATGTGTTCAAATATATTGAAAATGTATACAAAAATATATGATAAAAGTGAAAATTTTATATTATTTTATTATTAACGATGGTCTCTTGAGTGGTTATTAGTTAATGTGATACATCCCAAAAGCAATGACGGAACTAGAAAATTAAATTAAAATGAGCACTTATTAATTATAATATCAAAAAATTTTACAAAAATATTTCACACAAGTTTTTACGATTGATTTCGAAAAATATCAAAAAAATAATATTATTTGTAACTAGTGTATTATAGACAATGCAAAAAAAAAAAAAAAGGATATAAGTCTTAAAATAAATTATATAATGATAAAAAAAATTATACAAAATTTGATTAAAAATTCAATATAATGGTAATATCACGTTATCATTGATATGTGATATCACCAAGTAATAGTATATAAACACAGAGAGTGAACCTTACATATCAAATGTAACTAACAATCTAATAAATTTCTTATTTTTATAGTGAGATTACTTATACTTAAATGTCAATAATAATGACATCAACGTTACATTCAAAAAATTTCATAGCTAATATGATTTATAATAATCTCTTCGTTTTCAATTAAAATAATTATTATTATTCTCATAATTTTTAAGATGTCATTAACATTTCACTCTAATAATATTTTTGTAATTTTTTTTATTCAAAACATTTTCTTTATGTTTGCAAAATTCTTTTAAAAAATAATCCCAAAATCCAAAGAAGGTACGTGATCTCCTGGGCCTTCACTCCCTCTACCACTCATCTAATGGGGTGTTTTGAAAAGTTGATAAAAATTTGACTTTTTAACTTTTTTGACGAAGAAGCTAACTTTTTTAGTGACTTTTTTGTGACCTTTTTGAAAGAACTTGTTAAAAAATTAAAAAATTAACTTTTTACTAATTTCCGAAATTGCTCCAATATATATGTATCTGTATAAATGATGCCGAACTCTGTCATGTTAAATAATAAATATAAATAAATTAATTATATATATAAAGTGTGTCACAATGATAAATATAAATAATTAAAGATAATGATAAACATAATATTACACTTATTTTATTTGGTCAAAATTGATAATATTTTATTAATTTATAAAATATTATAAAGGAACAACCATCAATGATTGTGCTTGCCACTTGGCTCAATGGCCCTGCAATTTAAAAAATTGATTATAGTTTATGGAAAATGCCTAAGACCCCAGCTGTGTAGCCCACTGATTGAGTCAAAAAAAATACTATTTTTTTTTTTCAGCGAATAAGAGCCCGCCACGTCATTAGGGGTTGACCCCCACTGGGGTATGAATCACGGCCCTATAGTTTATGGGTGTGATTTCTCTCTAGTCCATATAGATTGAAGCGTTATTGTTAGATTTGTAAGGTTTATTACAGATCTTATTTTAATGATCTGAATTATTAATATATAGAGTTCATCGAATATTTTATGTCTGTAAAAAATTACGTTGATCGGATATTAGTAACCCTTTGATCAGAATATATTTTTATCAATAGTAAATATAATTTAAAAAATAAATTGTTAACAAAATATGTTCTGATCAATGGACTACCGATATCAGATTAAAGTGATTTTTTGCAAATATAAAATACTCGACGAACTATATGCATTGAACGGTTTAAATTATCAAAACGAGACCTATAGTAAGCCCCACTGACTCAACAACACGCTCCAATCCATTGTAGGACCGGAAAGAAGCATCTCCCCTAATTTATTTTAGTTTGAGAATACGTATGGTCCACATTCAACCATTCATATGTTTTAAAGATGAGAAGGAACAAATTTGCTCTCTAAAATGATGATAGTAAAAATAAATCGCTCTTAATGATGATGAATCTTCCTATGTTTTAAAGATAAGAAGGAACAAATTTGCTCCTAAAAATGATGATAGTATAAATAAATCTCTCTTAATGATGATGACAGAAGAATTAGATTGATAAATGTAAAGGAATGTTATCAAAGAATAATTAAGTTGTTTTTCTTAAAACTTATTTTTTTTTCACAAATAGTAAGTGTAATAACCATAGGCAGACGAGTTTTTTCATTCATATTTTGGGAAGTGGGTTATAATCCACTTCCCAGATTATAACCCACTTCCTCTCTCACAAAAAAGCTGCTTATAAATTGCTTATAAGTAGCTTTTCACTAAAAAGTTAATTATAACCATTTTTTCAAAATAGCCCAAAATATTATTTTCTGATAATAGACAACAAAATAAATAATCTTGGCATTGAAAGAAAATTTGTATCAAATTTACCTGCTAAATACGATTGCATGTATGTTGTTTTACTAGTGGCTTTTCTCGCAGCATGGACGGAGTTAAGTTTTTTTTTTTCTTTTTAAATTTATTTTTATTTTATTTTTTTATGTAAGACAAACACTCTATACAAAAACTACAACAAATAATGCAAGTTATATTTAAATTTTTTTAGGTGGTAATTTGCAAATTGTAATAGCAGCCGTTAATAATAATGTATACGTAAGAAATGTGTTCAAATATATTTAAAATGTATACAAAAATATATGATAAAAGTGAAAATTTTATATTATTTTATTATTAACGAGGGTCTCTTGAGTGGTTATTAGTTAATGTGATACATCAAATAAGCAGTGACAGAAGAAGAAAATTAAATTAAAATGAGTACTGATTAATTATAATATCAAAAATTTTTATAAAAATATTTCACACAAGTTTTTACGATTGTTTTTGAAAAATATTAAAAAAATAATATTATTTGCAACTAGTGTATTATAGATAATACAAAAAAAATATGGATATAAGTCTTAAAATAAATTATATAATGATAAAAAAAAATTATTCAAAATTTGATTAAAAATTCAATATAATGGTAATACCACGTCATCATTGATGTACGGGAAAGAAATAAACCTTCTCGTATAATCCTGTTGACCAAGTCTACTCTCCTCTATACGTTGTCGCTTTATCACCTGAAAACACAAACGTGAGCTAGCCGGCGGGTGTGTGCCGGAAACCTCTCCGATGCCTAAGTCAGCAAGCTTGACAAATGGACAAAGCTCTGTGTATTCAGAAAGCAAAATTGTGGTACCTCTCCAAAAGTGATGTTTGTGAGCTTTTATAAGTTTCGTGTGGCATAATCCTAGTAGGACTTCTACTCCTCCATGCAGAGTCCTCCTAGGATTCATACTCCTGAAAGATAATGCTTATCCTTCAACACCCCCCTCACTGCTTACACCAAGTGAGATGGTTTTATCATGGCCGAACTCCAATACGACCGAAGTAAACATGACTATGCACAGTCGTAGACTAAGCCGAACTATCCTTTATTCGATTCTTCCTTTCACCGCACCTTATCTCGGTTCTCTCATGTACAAACCATGGCGTGGTTAGACCGAACTAACAAGTCATGACCGGTATAACTCTAAGACCGGTCTAACTCAAAGGTACTGTTAGACCGATCTAACTGTCGGACTGGACCAGCTTCGCAGTCTTAGGACCGGACTAATTTCGGAATATTCATATGACCGGAGTGACTTACGTGGCCCTTTTACTCGGCCCTTTGTATTATGGCTCATAACGGCCCATTACCCAGCTCGGCCCAATTTTTACAAAAATTACTCTCTCAATTGCCCCTTAATTCCATCTGCGCAGCATGATAGGGATTATCTGTCTATCAGCCGAGCTGAAGTCTTTAAGTCTTTCCAGCAGAGCTAAAAACCCTTTAGCCTTTCCAGCCGAGCTAAAAACTCTTAAACATTCCAGCCGAGCTAATTTCACACCGAGCTCTGCTTGTCCGGTCAAAACGTCTCTTCAATCACAGCAACTGAATCGCTTCCCATTCTGATGGCACGTGACATGTTTTGATTGACTGAGGACGGCTGTCACGCCGTTCTTCGTACTTCGTGAAATTTGAACAGTCCCGCCTTTTTCCCTTTACCTAAAACAAATCTCATCATTTCGACACAGTTTACAACTTCTCTCTCTCTGAGCCTCCATTGCTTTTTCATTTTCTAAGCTCGTGTTTTGCTGCCTTTTGCTTCCATCTTTAGTTCTTGCTTCTTCATCAGGTTAGTATTGCACCTTTACTTTGTTTTCGTATGTTGCTTTCTGTGTCCTGTTTTCTGTGTTTTTGCAAAACGTATTTTTCCATTTTGTTTTGCTCTGTACTTTTATGGAAAAAACTTCACCATAGAACACGAGTATATGAAATATCCTGTGGAAAACTGGTTTTTGATCCATAATCATGATGCAACCGAACTAGGATACTGTTTAAGCTAGGTAAAAG